TATTAACAAATGTATAAAAAAGGCCTTCATAAATTTAAAACTGATCTACAATCAACGTTACATCTTAAATCCTAATCTCAAAAAGAAATTATGTGACACCTTAGTTCTTTCACAATTTACCTATTGTGACTCACTATATGGACCGTGTATTTTAGATCATGATGCTAAACGCATTCAACGACTACAGAACTGTTGTATCCGTTTGATAGGCAGTATAAAAAAATATGATACAGGTATCACAAATAAAATGGCGGAAATTGGTTGGCTCAACATGGCTGGGAGAAGAAAATTTCATTCATACTTACTAATTTATAAGATAATCAATAATAAAAGTCCATGTTATTTGTTTGATAAAATTAAATTTAGGTATGATGAACATTCACTGGACTTGCGTCACAAGTTTAATATCGCTCCCCCTATACATCGCACAACTCTGTATGAGAGATATTCAGTTATCAGGCATGTATTCTTTATAATAGAATTTCTGTAAATCTTAAAATTAACTCTTATTTGAAATTTAAAAGTTCTATACGACAGTTAATATTTAATTCTTCAATTTAAATGTTCAGATCTTATAATCTCCCGTCATGCCTCCATTTTAGTTTGTTTTGATTTATTTATTTATCTACTTAATGTACTTACTTGTTAATTACTTTCTGTATAATTATCTATAATACGGGATTAATTATTGGTTGCCTTTTTTTACTCATAGAATTATTCTCTTTGTGTATCTATCATATATAAATACTTATCAATTATTTCATGTTTCATGTATAAATATTTCATTAATTGATTTTCGGTATATTCTAACTATGTTATTCTACCCTTTAGTTTTCTATTATAATTATTATTGATTTATTATAATATTTTTATATAATATATATTAATTATGTTTACTAATTAGGGTTAAGTTAGGAAGCTAAGCTTCAACTTCGCCTTTTGTGATTTTTTAAATTTCGCAATAAAGTCTTTATTATTATTATTATTATTTATTATTATACTTTAAGTTTAAAAATGCTTACTAGCACATCTTGCAGTTGAACATAATTTTTTAGGACCTCCTTTAGTGCGAAGTCTAGAAGATAGCTTAATAGCCGTAAAAAACTCATCGCAACTTTATTGGAATATTTTGAACGGAAAAGCGGTAGTAATGGCCCTTTATGTACCTTAAGTGCTGTTAAGGAGGTGAGTTTTGTTGATGTAAATAATAACTGTTTATATATTTATAATTAATTTATTTTTGTTTCCTAAAATATTTTGATGAAAAGAAAATATGTAAAAGTGGGCAACGCTGTGCCGGTCAAGCTTAATCACGTGACTAAAAGTTTATTTGATATGAACTATATATTTTTTAATATTTATAAATTTTTCGATAAATAAAGAAACAATTACTATATAATATTCATAGATGCATATATTATAGTACATTTTCTCGTGTCTCGTGTCTTTGTGTCATGTTTTTTGTATCTTGTATTCTATAAAAATGCTGAAAAATAAAAAATTAAACAAATTTTGCATTTATCTAAAGCTGATTTGTGGATAGCTGAGCTGTGGATAATTCAATAATTCGTAATTTTAAAATTTATCACACTTGCTTAATACCTGATACACATTTAATACTTTTTCGATTTTGCACGTTTTGTCAGAGTTAATATAAATATAAAAGTATTTTGAGTTTTAAATGAGAAATATGTTCAATTAAACTTAAATGAACACAATCATTACAATAATAGTTCCCAAAGCCACCTCGCCGTATCAAAAAATAACATAAAAATTTACTGATAATAATTCAAAAAATTGCAAATCGTTGGTGGCAAGTTCATTTCGCTTTTAAAAATTACCCAAGACATGAATCAAAAAGCAAAATGTACAGGAGTCATGGTTCTGACGAAAAAATAATGTTTTAGACAAATTTACTCACGAAATTATTGCACAGTATGTTTTAAAGTTAGAGCAAAAAATAACCTTTCGATTAACCCTGTATAATAAGCCAAATACTAAAGTTTATTTTAAACTAAGTTTACGAATTAAAGTTGATTTATTTATATACAGTTTGCTAAAAAGTCATAAAAATTAGGGCTATAAATAAACAAATATAAATAAATTTGACGAAATTTAAAGTAGGATAGTATTATTTGATATGGCCCTCTCAACGGTAAATAAAAATAAAATAAATTGTTATAATATTTTCCTGAAATACACCCTAGAACATACTTTAGGTTTGCACGTAACAAAATTCCCAAGTTTTTTTATTATAGGAGCTACAGATGCCCGACGCACTATTGCCTGACCCTGTATGTTATCTAGCTAATCAATAAACTAGCCAAGTAAAAACTTAACACTAAGGCTGGTTTACATTGGTATTAATAGTAGTAGAGTTCACTAGCATACTTTTTTTCTAAAACACTCTACTTTGCCCACTTTGGTAGAGTAACTGTACACACGTCTCCAGTAATTTGAAAAGACAGTTCAGTTTAAAGTGTGTGACAATGAACAAGTAGGTTAGTCAATGGAGATTCCTTTACCAGATCCTTCTACACTTTTTATGAAAGAATCCATTAAAGGAAACCATTTAATATATGGAACATAGACATCATTTAAACCAGAACCTGATTTTTTTGACTTTTTTATTTTGTAAACTTCTTGATTATAAGTACACCTCAAATCTTTAGTTTTTTGTTTTAATTCGTCTAACCTAACCAACATTTTCCTTTGATATATATTTTACAATTTCTTCGTAGGTCGCTGATCTCATTGATCTATTTCTATAATTAGGGCGGCTGATATTCCATATAAACTCGTAATCCTTGTATACTGCCACGAATTTCGTAGTTTCAGATTCCGTCCACTTCATTTTCTTTCATACGTAAGCAAAATTTTAAGTTTTAATGAAGAAGTAAAAAGAGATCGGCAAGCACAAGAAACATCCAAACACTCACCTCTACTAAAGCTAGTCTAGTGCCTGTTTACACTGGTATAGTAAACTAGCAAACCGGTAGAGTAGAGTAAGATGGTGATAGTGGGGGTAGGCTAGTAGAGTGTACTATTCCACACGTGCTATCCACTCTACTCGCCCTTAGACTATCTATAGTACTATAATGTAACTAGCACAAACTGTTTACATTATTCTAGCAGTGGGATATCGTAAAGGCATATCGACCATCGACGCAATCAATCGAGTAGTCACCATTGCAAGGAGTGTAAAGGAAGGGAATTGGAAAAATAAAGGATATTATGCATTAGTAACTTTAGATGTCAAAAATGCTTTCAATACTGCAAGATGGGGAGAAATTATACAAGCCTTGAATAGAAAAGATTTCCCAGAATATTTGAAAAATATGGTGAATAGCTATCTTACAGAGAGAAAAATATTCTATCTAACGTCTGAAGGAACAAAAACGTATGACATAACAATGGGAGTTCCCCAAGGATCGGTCCTAGGACCCCTCCTATGGAACATATTTTATGACGAGCTTATGGAACTGGAAATGGCTGAAAACACAGATATAGTGGGATTTGCAGATGATATTGCTGTTGTGGCAACGGCAAGTAAAACAGAACAACTGGAGATTGAAGTTAACGACAGTTTAGATAGAATACACCGTTGGCTGAAGATGAAAAATTTGCAACTGGCTGTCCATAAAACAGAGGCTGTACTGATAACGGATAAGCGATCTTTTACGTATCCAAAGATTGTGTTGGATGGGACGGAAATCAATGGTCCTCAGTCCTAGTCAAAGCCTCAGATATCTGGGAGTACAAATTGATAAAAAGCTGAATTTCAAAGAACACATACATGCAGTAGTGGTAAAGGCTCAGACAACAGTGGCTAAATTAGCAAGAGTAATGCCAAACATCGGAGGTCCAAGGCAGGAGAAAAGGATACTTTTAAATGAAGTGGTCCACGCCAGTATTTTGTACGCCGCTCCAATATGGGCAAAGGCACTGGAGGTTAAAAAAGAAAAACAGAAACTTCTATCAGTTCAGCGACGGAGCGCCTTGAGAGTTGTTTCTGCCCTGTAGGCAGTAGTACAGGTACAGTTCTGTACTGTAGCGGAGCAAGCGGTATTCGTAATCGCAGGTATACCACCAATAGACCTGGTAGTAAAGGAAAGGGCTTATATATATGATCAGAAAACTACAGGAAGAACAGATAAGGCTGATATCAAAAATGAAGCGAAGGAGATATTATATCAACTGTGGCAAAGAAGATGGGATGAGGCGTACGGTGGAAAATGGACACATATGTTAATCCCGAATATAAGAAGATGGACTGAACGAAAACACGGACAGGTAGACTATTATCTTTCCCAGATACTTAGCGGTCACGGAGCTTTCGAACATTATTTATATCGTTTCAAGAAAAGAGCTAGTGCGGCTTGTAAATATTGCAGCAGTGCCATCGACGATGTCAGTCACACCATTTTTGAATGCTCGGCCTGGGAACCAGGTAGATTAAAGATCAAAGGGATTTTTAAGGTACCCTTTAAAAAAGAAAACTTAGTACCATCTATTGTGGAGGACGAAGATATATGGGAGGCTTTCGTGGCGTTTATATCAAAAATTCTACGACAGAAGGAGCTGGATCAACGGAGGGTTGAAGAATGACCAAAGTCTAACGTAGAGAGGGGCATCGGCGCCGAAGTAATGCGTGAGCAGTTCCAGCGCAGTTTGTCTACCAAATAGGGTGGATTTTTTTTAGTCGGTAGGAATCCGGCACAACTCGGTCGCCAGAACAACAGACCAGGCGTCTAAGAAGATTTTTTTACCATCCTCCAAAAAAAAAAAGTAGTGGGATAGTACGCACTCTACCACCGTATATACTCTACTATTATTAATACCAATGTAAACCAGCCTTAACATATTCTCGTTTATGAGTTGTTCCGGTCAGTAGTGGTACTATTTGAACATTTGAACGATCACAAATGTGTTGATGTTGAATACTTCCTTTAAAACTTTATAAACTTAAATATTAAATATAAGACAAAAAAGTTACTTACGCCGAGACGTGCGGATTATCTCTCACTTTACAATGAGGTAGCATATTCGGCGTTTTCGTCGACACCACAAGCTGAATCATATCCACTGAACTCTGCATTTTCAAATAAGCCAAATACAGTCCCCTCCCCAACTTCAAACCGGACACTTGATGGTAATTGATCTGATCCTGTATACTAGCCATTAAAACGTCACCGATACTAGAATCGTCACTCAGCACAGCCTTCTTAAACACTTTGTTCATCGGCAACCAGCGCGAGTTCAACACACTGACACTTTTCGGCGACTTGACGTAGTTTATCGTGCTTACCACCACCGTACCCTGAGAATCCCTGACTGGCCTGTAGTAGAGCTGGCCTAGGTCTTGCAGACACAGGGACGACTGCATTTGGAGGGCTGCCAACAGTAACTTCGTCCGGAAATGTATAGTTGAGGAGGTGTGCTCCTCCATGACGGTCTTGAGGCATTTGGTGTCGTCCCACGTGGAGGCCACCCTCATCAGCCAGTAGAGGTCGTTGTTGATGCAGCTGGGAAATGATTCGTCGATTTCTATCACAGGAAGGAAGTCTTCGTTGGTCACGAGGACCTTGTCCTCGTGGTAGAGGATACAGGCTAAATATATACCCCTAAAACATCAAAAGAAAAATATTCCATTAGAATAAAGAAATTTGAGACTAAATCTAGCTGTGTTACAAATACAGGGTGTCCCAGGCTCAAGTGCCGCCATATTAAAAACATATTTTTAATTGAGAGATCTCATTGTGAAACAATGATGTACAAAAAATCTCCGATCTAGATATTGTAGATCTCTAGAAACTTTTAATGCATGCTCAGCTTGGAACACCCTGTTTAAGATGATGATTTGGACTTCCCCCGGCTCTACTTCAACAGGTTTTTTGTATTATTATTATTGAGTCTTCGATAATAAATAAATTCTCTAGAAGTAGAAGGTTCAGCACATTCAAACAAAGTTATGTTACCTTTTTAGATTTTTTTGGAATTTGCTAGCGGCTGTAAATAATTGCTTTATTGTAGTCTTTTTTCTTTGTGCTCTCCTTTGGGATGGACCTGCTGATTCCAACATCTCACTACCAGGCCTTAATTGTCTTACTTCTTCTATAAGCTGATCCAATTGATTATTGCTTTCACCATATCTAAAAATAAATCATCTTTTCTTAAAGAGACATTAAATATTGGTTCACATCTTTATTTGGTTATTATAGAAACATAGTTAAATCAACCACAATATACTAAAACACTGTTTCAATATTCTGAACGTATCTTTTGCCATTCGAATTAGTATCATCAGTAGATCGTAGTAACATGGCAATGCTGACTATTAATCTATACTAATATATAAAATCCTTAAGTGACTCACTAATTAATCACGATCCTGCTCAAACCACTCAACGTAAGCAGCTCAATTTTGGCATACAGGTTGATTCTAGGGTGTAGAGGTTCGATAAGAAGGGATTTTTCGAAATTCTAGTTCCAAGAAGGTGAAACCACCCCTCAAATATTAGAATATTTTTTATTTAAAATCCGGTGAGTTTTTCGGAAAAACTCTTAAACACGTATATTTATTTTTGTTGTTTTGCATATTTTAAGATTTTTTAAAAATTTGTACAGGGTGTTTCATAAAATATGACCATTAAGTAATCACGATTCTGCTTAAACTGCTTGAGGTTTAAAGCTGATTTTTGGCCACCGGATTGACTGTGGGGTGTAGAGGTTCGATAAGGAGGGGTTTCTCGAATCTCAAAATCCAAGAGGGTGATAACGCCCCTCAAATATTACAATATTTGTTATTTAAACAACGGTTAGTATTTCGGGAAAACGCTTGGACACGCATAATTTAGTTTGTTTTTTTACATATTTCGAATTTTTAAAAAAAAATCAAACAGGGTATTCTAAAAAGTTGGGTAATTGATTAACCACGATTCTGCTTAAACTGCTTGATGTAAAAAGCTTATTTTTGGCAAACGGATTTTTCGAAAGTCAAATTCCAACGAGATGACCAACTGCCCCTCAAATATTACCAAGTTATATAATAATATCGCCATATTGTTTTTTCTCATGCTGACATATGTAAATGTGAGAAAATTTTATCCAGTTTGTATGTTAATGGAAATTCTTGCTTTGCTTTATCATCACCATTACAAATGATTAATTCGACGCGAACGAACGAAGTCGCGGGTACACGCTAGTAATATCTATAATTTGTTGTATTGTGGTTGATTTTGAACAATAAAATTATATATTATTGTTTGTTACATTTTCACAAAGTCACTGAATATATTTCTTAGTTCTCAGACATACCTTGGATCTTTTTGTTCTATTTCCCTCCAAGTGGACGGTGTCACTGACGCCGGTGTGGAGGCCCTGTACATTCCGTAACCCTTTAAGTTGCCACAACTGGCCCTAAAATAATATCTCCTTCCCTGAGTCAGTTCCACTTGGCACCTTAAATTGGACATGTCCGTAAGCTCTTCGGTACCAGAGATAATGGAGAAATCGGGTCTTGTAGACCATTGTACTGTAAAAAAATAAGAAAAGTATTTAGAAATGGAGGAATTATGAGAAATAAATTATAGAAAAGTAGAACATAGATTGTAGAGTGTTCTACCATATACCTACACCATTTGGCAAAGCATAGTGAACTCTTTGACGAACAATATTATAAAGCTTGATTTTCATGCATCCGTTATACGTTGATACGTTGGTCCGACGGTGCTCTGATTGGTCATAGCTTTTTCGCGCCACTTTTCATCCGTAAATATTTTACTTCAGCCCGTCAACGGACCCGTTCATACGATAAAGCCGGGTCCACATATGTAGCATCTTCGTGCATCATATCTCCGTCGCGTTGCACCAACATGTTTCATGATCGCTAGTTTGGACGCCGAATTAACGCGATCATATGGTACACCTTTGTGATACCGTATCTGATACATGCCAATCCGAATTTTGGCGCGTATCTTAACACTGCGTATCGGATACACGTATCACGATCTGTCATTTGGACGTGTTTTGATACAGTATAACGATACAATTGCCAAGTACCTCTACAATCCTTGGCAAGTAAACAGTATAGTCGCATCGATAGATACTGGTCGTCCCAAAATTGTCGTTGCTAGTGATTCTTTTTTCTTTTTAAGTTCTTTTACTGTACACTGCAATACGATTTCTATGTTCGTTATGTTTGGCCATCCATATGAAGGGCTCATTTTCGTATAAATCCATAAATTCCAAAACAACATCATTTGAAGACTACACGGGAAAACCCAGTTTTGTCCGTTTTAATTGGAGCCGAGAAAAATGCAATTTAGTGTTTTTAAAGAAATATGTTATTTTCGGTTGAATAATTAGAAAAATATTTATATTACTACCAATTCTGAATTATTAATATTGTGAATTATCGCTATATTTTGAAATATTGAAATAAAAATCTAAATAGATAATCTAAAAAAAATAGTCAAAATGCAAAACAAAACAGGAGAAAACAGAGATGTTCAATTAATTAAAGGTTGTATAAAACCTAAATCTAAACTATTATTTTTTGTTGAAAATTTATATTTAAGTAGGTTTTTATTACAAAGAAGAGAAAAAAATATTCCGAATATACGTACATAAATTAATTACGTATGTGTATACCTTTAAGATTGTTACATAAGGATAATAGTTTTCTATCGATCGTGTCAGATGATGTTTTTGAGAGATTTGTTGATTCATCTATGTTTTTCGGTCAGTCAGATTATTGTTGTTTATTGTAAGCTTCGGCAAGTTTCGAGCGGAATAAATTTGTTTGTGTTTTTGATTTTCGACGTTTATTTTCTGTAATATCCCTTGTTCTAATAATATAATACTAATTGCAAGATGCATGCTTGTCGCCCATGCGTAAGTACATCTCTGGTTTTTGCCATTTACGCGTGGACTACTCTGGTTTTTCCTTTGTACGGCAAAATAACCAAGCTGTAATATCTCTGGGACTAAGCGTATTATTGCTTTCTTTTTTCGAATGACGTTAACATTTGTCTATAATGTTGTATCGCTATCTTAATTTCTATGAAAATGTGACATATCTGGTTTTTCCCGTGTAGTCTTCATTTGTCCACTCCATTTATTGCTGTGAAAACGATTTAGGTATGTCGCCAATATTGAAGTTATTAATGTAAATTTGATATTACATAATCTATTATTGTTTTAACGTTTTAAATTATCCGCAATTAACTCGAAAAACACTACGATCCGGAAATAAATCGGACATACGCTATAACAGTAACATTATTTGCGCAGTCGTTCTTTTGCGCTTCGGCCAGTGTAAACAGGGCTGGCCCAGGCTGGCCAAGTATACTTGGCAAGTGTACGATTAATTGTTTGACTCGGGCTATATTTACCGACAGAGAGTGGGGACGCGACAAGTGACCAAGGAACCCGTTCTCACGACATGGCAAGTATATTCCAATAAACAAATGTTTGTCAAGTACGCCAGTCGTGAGAATCCGCCTTAACCTTAATAAAAATATAAGTAAAATAGCAAAATCGTTATGGAAATGAAAATATAAAATGACACCAATGTATATTCGATAAAAAATAAAAAACAAAAAATAAAACTGCGTTATTTTCTAACCAATGAAAGTCTTTAAATTCTACCAATAAAATTAATATCGTATCAACGTATCGTCGGACAACGGATGCTTGAAAATCAACCTTAACTCTAACTCATTTCGTATTTGGACTTAACCAATTGACAGCTAAGGTGGCTGAATTGAAAAAAACATGTAGTATACAGGGTGTGAATGAAGACTTGAACCCACTGTAACCAAGAAACAAGTCAGAATCTATCTATGTTGATATAAAAAATAAATCTTATTTTTACGTGAGAAATCTGCCCACGAGAGATGACACATGTTTTTTGAAACACACCGTATAAATTAGAAAAACCTGGCTCCTCAAAAAATTGCAGAAATTCCATTCAAACATTGGAATTGCCGTATGAAATAAAATAATAATAATAATTTAACATAATATATATGTACATTTCACTTGAGTGTAGATAATAATTATCGAACATTTTTATAGAGTGTAGGTAATAATTTTTGAACACTTACCTAGAACGGTGGTATCGAGCTGACCGATATTAAATTTAGGCATATTTTAATATTAAAAAATAACAATACAAATTTGTAGAGGTTTCGGAATTCAATTTTTGTCGTTTGCGTCAGGTCTGGTAATTTTTAATAGCCGTTTTTGATAAAATAAATTTAGATATATGATATGAATTTAAAAGATAACAATGCTAGATAGGAATTTCGTAGAAGCGGTACCTATAGAATTGATATTTTTTATAAAATAGTAAAATACATTTTAATTGAATTATTTTGGAGATATGAATAAATGTATAGTTATCTACAAATCTACATCAATATTATTGTTTTGTATTTGGTATATAATATAGTGTGTTTGTTGTTATTAATTTTCATTGCGTTTAAGTTAGTATAGTACGCTATGAATTATGAATGAGGGTGAGTCTTAAATAAGTGGAAATATTATAGGGGTAGTATATTTCGACCCCTGAAACAACTTTTTATCGCGAAAACTTTTTTGGAAAATTTGGAATTTTTGGAAAAAAATTTGATTTTTTTTAAATTTTTATTTAAAAACTTAATATCTTCATAATAGACTAAATCCACAGACTAGCATGCGTTTGCATCACAGGAGCCATGAGAACCTGTCCAACAGCAGCAATGGAGGTCATTCTAGATCTAACACCACTGCACATTGTCATTGGTAGATATGCCAATGCGACAATGATTAGAATGGTCACTAAAGGAATTAGTACTGGGAGAATTGTCAGATCAGGGGCTTGGAACACCCTCAAAAAGGAAATACCACTCCTGCAACTCCCAGTAGACGATATGCCAAGAACGTACACCTTTGAGAAACATCTCAATGTAGTATTGAGCAATAAAAAGGATTTGAAGAGCGAAACGCTTGCCCAGCAGTTAAAAGACCATACCATAACTTGGTATACTGATGCTTCCAAAACCAATACGGGAACAGGGATCGGAGTGTTTGGGCCGAGAGCTAAATACTCCGAACCAATGGGCACTTACCCTAGTATCCTACAGGCCGAGAGAAGCTGAATAAATTAGGCAAAGAAAACAAAGTCCTCCTACTCTGGGTGCCTGCTCACCAAGGGATAGAAGGCAATGAAAAAGCAAATAATCTAGCTAGGAAAGGAGCGAACACTCAACTAACTGGACCAGAACCGTTCTGCTTTCCAAGTGGTAACCAACTCAAGGCGGAACTCAAGAACTTGGAAGATTCCATCCGCAACCTGGAATGGAAATCTTGCAACGGTCTAAGATACTCGAAGAAGTTTCTGAGGGCTTATGATCAAGAAAAATCACAGATCTTCCTAGGTTTAAGTAAGAACAATCTTCGGATTGTCACGGGGTTTTTAACAGGACACTGTCTCCTGAATGAACACCTCAGTAGATTGAAACTAAGAAGAAACGGCGAATGCAGATTCTGTGGGGAAGATGGGGAAACACCAGTACACCTCATCACTGAGTGCGCCGAGACGACAACCATTCGTGCCATGAATTTTGGTACGACTGATATTGGAGATGGAGAACTACCCTCTATAAAACCGTCCCAGATACTGGCTTTTGTCAAAGCCCTGGTACTGTATGATGAGTTATGACTCAAGAAAGGGGGACACAATGGATCTGTAAGGTCGCAGTGATTAACCCCCCTCCCACTCATTCTAAATTCTAATTCTAAAATCTTCATAATATTGCAATGTATGTAGTAGATTAAATTTACAAAATAGAAAACCGAGAAAAGATCAAGTGGTTCTTAAAATTTAAGCGAAAAATCAGTTTTCTTTTAAATTTTCAAAGCAAAATATCTGGGATATTTTGTATTTATTTGAAAAACGGTAAAGACAAAATATGTTTCTTTTATCGAGATCCCTGAAAATATTTGCATATATTCCTTGCCTGTATATTCCTTGCAGCTTAAAATTTTCTTGGTTCTTAGAAAAATGTAATTTTACAAAATATTTGTTTTTAATAACTCACCCTGTATAAAAAAATAATAATAAAATATTGCTAAAGCAAATTTGTCTTTAATAAAATGTCAAACATTTCAAAACTAAATTTCTAACTTATTCTATAATAAAATCTGCATCACCCCGTATAAATCCAAAATTATATATTTATATTTTATTTATATTCTTATTTACAGTTTCCTCACAAAAAAAATCCTTTTAAACACTTTTTGTCACGATGTTTCTATAGTCGATTATGTAATAAGTAATTTCCAACATCAGCTTTTAAAATGCTAAATATTTTAGTGGCAAGTAGCTATGGGTTTTGTGCGTTTCAGGCGAATATTTCAGTGAAATTTTAATGTCAAAAATATCAGTTTTTATTCTCATGTATCTCTTTTGTTGTGAAGAAAAGGCCCAAGCAATTTTGCCCCTACAAGTGACCGGTTGACATTTCAAATTAGAGGCGTAAGTATTAA